CAGCAGGAAACATCTATAATTGGGACCCAGGGTGGGAAATTCCCTGCAATACCCTCCAGCCCCTGTGCTTGATTCTGTGGGAGCAGATGGAGTGTGAAATCCCTTTGGACTTAGTGACTGGTACAGGGGTGAGCTGTTTAAGGGAGGATGGACTTCGGGTAGAGGGGAATCAGACAACATGGCAGCTAGAGAGATCTGTAAGGAACTCCACGGCCTGCCCTTGGCAGTGGGGGTGGTAAAACAGACCCCCTCAACATGCCAGGACACAGATGAGAAGGAGGTGAAAGAAAAACCACTCAGGGGGGAGCTAGCAACTGGAGGAGAGTCCATACCTGCCGGTAGGTGTCCTGATGATGCTCCTCGTTCCGGGAATCGTAATATTGCTCAATGAAGCCGAAGTACTCCTCCCGTTTACGCTGCAAAGTCAGCTTCCGCCGTTCCATGTTGGCGGGGAGGTAGCCCTGGAGGGGAAAGGCAGTGTGTCCAGGAAGGCCCCTTCCCCTTTGCTCCTGACCCAGTGGGGCCAGTGCCTGAGAAGCTTGCCAGGCAGTGCTTTCAGTCTGCGCAAAGCTCTGGGTGCGGGCAGCTCACAAGGGCCTCAACACTGCCAACACAGGATTGCCTGGTCTCCCCCCTTCCTGACCTGGGGCAATCTGCCAGCAGCCAGCTGCAGGCCTGGGTCAGTACAGAGCTGACTAGCTGCTCAGCACCAGCTGCTCTTCAAACTTGCCGCAAGACACCAATTACCTATAGGAGTGAGCTGTGCAGGCTGACTAGCCAGGGTGCAGGGTGGTGGCTGCCACCATGGGGGACAATGACCTCACTGGCAGTCTCAGAGTTCAGATCATTCGTGCCTGCTCCCTGGCACAGGGGGAGACGGGACAAGTAGGCAGCCAGCAGTCTGAATGTCCAACTGGAGTCAAAGTCAGGGCCTGCCGGATGGCATTTCAGACACCTCTGTTCTAACCCCAGCCCACTTGCTAACTGGATGTGCAACTTTGACTTCTCAGGGAGCACAGGGATGGCTAGACTGTGTAGGGGAATACGGAACTGAACAGAATCTCTGTACTGACCACGTGCCATAAGGCAGGGCCAGGCACCTCTGGTGGTGCTCTCTACCTTGGGGATCTTCAAGAGAAGACTGGACAAGCACCTAGCTGGGGTCATCTGACCCCAGCACTCTTTTCTGCCCAGGGCAGGGGGTCAGACTCAATGACCTACTGAGGTCCCTTCCAACCCTAACATCTACGAACCTCCAGCCCAGTCACACATGCTCCCACACATGTAGTCCCAATGGCTAGTGCAGCTGTCTGTACAAGGCTGCAGCAGGCCTTTGCCTTAGTACTTACCGACAGGAGCCGCCATGTCACGGGCCGGACCTCCCTGGGCACACCGGGCCAGCTGCACTTCCTCAGCTCATCTGCAAACGGACAGTGGTGTCAGTGGGTTAGATCCCTAGGCACGTCCTGAGTGAGGTCCACGGCTAGTCAGGACTACACCTAGAAGGAGAGGAAACCCCAGTCTGCTCCTGTGGGCTCAAGAGACACCGTGTCCCCAGCAAGGCTTGGCATTAGCCGCACACAGGATGCGCTGTAGGGCCACAGGGGCTTGGACCCAGCCAGCCCAGAACCTGTGTCCCCAACATCATTAGCAGCAGATGCAGGGGGCTCCAATCCAGCTGATCCCCGCTCAATTAGCATCAAGTATCCACAGAAGAGCCCAGTCCGCCCAGCAGCAACCGCATCCAGCTCCCACTGGTGCTGTTCCATGCTCACATTTGATTGATGTTGTAGGACCCCAATGACATACCCCGAACCTCCCTGAACTACCCCTTTCCCCTGCACTCACCCAGGTCCGTGTTGTGGCTGGACAGGAGCTGCCGGAACTTCTCCAGACGGGTTTTCTCTCGCACAGTCATCGGAGGAGCCCCTGAGGCATTTTGGTCAGAGATGCGGGCGACAAGCGGGATGATGGGCCTGAGTGGGAGGGACTGCTGTTTGTGGAGTGGGTTCCGCACACAGGTGTCCTCTGTCAGAGGGCAAGAGGACAGTCAGAGAGCCAGCAGGGTGGGAGCAACATCAGAGCAGAAGTCAACCACAGGACAGGGACTCAGGGAATCTGTTCTGTTCCTGAACTGGGCCTCAGGTTCCTGTTGCCTACAGAGGGATAAAGCCCTACTTCTGGGTTTGTCTGCTAGTGTGTGCACACTGCTTTGGGATCTCTCCAACCCCCTAACAAAGGAGAGGCTTGCCCAAGTAGGGGTGCCTTCTCTAGTCCTTGGGATTACATTAATACTTCAGGAAGCTGGATAGTTCAGAGTAAGCCCTGGTCCTATGTGCACCCTGGCAAGCATCAAGACCTCTCTCAAAAGTCTCCCATCATTCCTTTGTTCCTAGGCTTTCCTTCCCCCTTCCCCTAATGCACTTGAGAAATAGAAGCTACAATCAACATCAGCGCTTCACCCTGCCAGCTCTAATTCCCTCTACCAGAAACTCTTGTACAGCCTGGGGACATCACAGGATGGGAACTCAGACTGACTTCAAAGCCATGGTCCAAGATGGAGTACAGCCAGCTTCCTGCTGCTGTTTTCATTGTTTCCTCCTGTTCAACCCCTTCCTCTTACTCCCGTATTCATCCTCTCCTTCCTTCCTTCCTCCCCTTTGCATTCAACACACTAGGCTGCCATTTGCTCAGAACCTGACCACTGTGTGTCAGCAGAAGAGGGCACTTGGGGATTGCAGCAAAACCAATGTTACTTAGCCTACATCTTTGGGCCTCCTTTGTGCCAGGGAGCAGGCACCTTGGCTTGCAGAACACAACAGGCATTACACAGACTCTGTTGCCATCTGCTGGCTGCCGAGATCTATAAATTTACTTTCAGAGCAACCAACCTGGAGCTGTAAAGCACCTTCTGGGCTTCTTTAACAGCCTGGAAGGATGGATTCACAATCCTGGGGGATGCTGACCCAAGGCTGACAGGCAAAGGACTATAAGCAGGATGTGGAGCCCCAAAGAACTCCAGGCTACATGTTGCTGGTGGAGAGGTAGCTGCTGGGCCTGGATTTGGGGCATTAGACTAGTAATGTAGGGACAAATCAAGGTCCATGGGGTGGTGATTCTTCTGTAAGCCTCTATGTGGGCAATAGTGAGAGGTTCAAATCAACAGCAACCACTCAAGAAAGCATACTTGCAAGAGGCACTCACCAGATGTTCTGGAGAGCTGGGCTTCACTGCTGGATTTGATGACTTTACAGTTGGTTGGCATCTCGTTCAGTGCAGATGGGGTCCGCTCGGGCTTCACCCGCAGCTTGCTGTGGTTCTCCAGGACCTGGGCTGCTGTGGCTTTGGCCACTTTTGAGTTCAGGGTCTGGAAGGAGAAGTCTTCGTCTTCATCATCGCCAATGTCCCAGGCATCACTGGTGTTGCGGGCAAACTCATGGAAGCTAGAGGCCTTCTTGCTCTTCAGGGGCAGTGCGTTGACCTTGGAGCGGTCCTTGATGAAGCTGGGGCCATGGGGAGAGTGCGTCAGTGCTAGGATACGAGGTAAGCCTGGCCTCTTCCAGCCCTCAGTCCCACATGACCCCTCCCAAGGGTT